CTCCAGTGGTCTATAGATGAAGTCAGGGGTATTCAGGTCTAACAAAAGGTAAACCTTTATGTCTGTGTTTAACTATTGACTCATTTTAACTTTGATCAGTGAGTTTTTGGTTTCAACGACTATTAATTCGTTTTTGATTAATCCCAGCTTAAAAACCTTTTAAAGCTCATGTTTGGATCTTTCTATTTGGTTAAGCGAAACCTACTGGATTATCTTTGTGTGGATTTTGTTCTGTAGATCTTTAAGAAGTGTCTTTTAAAAAGCTATCCTTTACATGCAGTATTGTCAGTCACTTTTTCTGACACCTACCCCCCTGGCAGTCGTTTCAGATGGTAAAACTGGTTGATTGTCTTGTATGCATTTGTAGGTCAAGGTAGAGGAATCAATATTAATTTCAGTCTTTTTACAAACAGCAAAAAAAATAAAAAATTTACCAGTGCTTTAAGGACTTTGAACTTAAGATTTTAGATTAATTTATGGCCCAGGAATTAACAGCCAAGATTGCTGAGACCATATACCAACAGGGACAGGTTGAAGGCTTATTACAATTTTCTCCTCACTCAATACTGTCACCCCCAAAATACATTTTTGTTCTGTAATGATTGACACAATCATGTCATCAATGAAAGTGAGGAATCCTCTGGAATCCAGTGGTCCTTAAAAATACAAACACAGATCCGCAGTGGTAGAAATGTTATTAGAAATAATCAAGAATTTCAGTATTTATAATAAATCAATTTTGTAAACAATGGCCAAATTAAGGATGGAATAGTCAGTATGGTATGATGTGGTTTGGGTGTGACTTCTTGTAATTGACAGAAACAGAACAATGAGTAACCATGTTGACCTTTCTTTGTGGTCGAAACATGGTCAACATTGTTCTCCACAAACTCTAGGGTCACCTTTTCTGAACAGTCTGAGGCAAAAAGGATCTTCACAGACTGATGACATCTCTCAGTGGTGAAAGCAGGGGGATGATGGGAAGTCTGGGTCTTTATGCAGCTGTTCGCTCTTTTTCCATCCACTGCAAGCCTTTTTTTTTCATTCTTTTTGGAGCAGGTATAGTCACCTGGGTGGGCCTGGCTGGAGGCAATCTCTCCTGCCCTTTTCTTCGCCCCTGGTGTCCTGCAGCTGCTTGACGGGGAGCAGCTGACAGCCGATGACCCACTCAGCAGTCAGCGGTGCAGACAAGGTGCTGCGGTTTGTCCTTGGCAGGGGGAGGAGGCCGGGCCTGACTGAAAAGCGGGACGCTTTCGATTACCACCTCAGAAAAAATGGCTCTGCAATAGGTTGCGTGGTGTCAAGTGTTCTCAGGTGCCATGGGAAGAGGATCGACTGTTATGCTCTGCTAATTAGGCAGGAGATGTTGTCTTTCCTTTTTCAGTCAGAATCAAGTGCATATGTGTGTGTATTTGTGTGTGTACATGACACTTAAGGCCCTCTGCACAAAAGATCGATGTTTGTATGAATATGAAGAAGGCTGTTATGGGGGAAAAATGGTCATGTAGCAGATATAGTGATTTATGATGCTGCTTTCACTTGCACAAAGATCCTCAATAGAGGGAGGAGGAGGAGGGAGAATGAAACAGAGAGAAAGTTTGCTCTAGGCAATATTATCCACCTCTGTTGTCTTAAAATCTAGCCTTCAGCATTGCAGTCAAGAGTTGTGTCAATATAGGATATTACAAACACATTTTTCCGCATGGTGGGAGGATGCTATGCACAACAAACATGTTATAAATAAAGATCTTCACATCCCTTGGAATAAAGTCACAACAGAACAGATACACACGCAGCACAGAGGATGCTAACATACGGCACAACGACATGTTTGCAGCCAAAGATGGTGTTACGAGACTAATTTCATTGTCTCACTGTGGGACTCATTAAAGCACACTACTAGTACTGTCATTATGTGGGCCCCCAAACTGAGTTAATGTTGTCCTTTACTCTCAGAAAAACCAAGGCTCATTAAAACATACGGGAGCAAATGAGAGCCCAAAAAGAGCAGGCGTGTGTGACCCATTTCAGATCGTGACTGTGCCTTGGTTTGCAGCACACACACACACACACACACACACACACACACACACACACACACACACACACACACACACACACACACACACACACACACACACATACATACACATTTACAGACAGTCTGAGTAGTGAACTAGTCGATGAACTGAGACAGGATGTGGATGAGGGCCCCGCATGTCAAATGTGCCAAATGAAATCACATTAGTAACTTAAGTGAAATCTAATTAAATCAAGTTGAATCAGTAGCTGATGCAGTAAATCCACTGCTGGTTGGCTCCTCTGCCCTGCAGCCATGACACAACCTCACGCTTCTGGTCACAAAAATTGGGTTTTTGTGGAAGCAGTAGTTAAAAAACACAAAGGAACACGGTGCTGCTAGGCTCTTCTTCTTTTTCTGCTGTCTTTCTAATTTCCTCCCAAAGCACTTTAAGCTCATAGCAAAGGTTCCCAAATAGGTAAAAATTTTCATCAAATACTCAGGCAGTAAAGTCTTACCAAGGGGGTTTTTAATTGACCAGCAGTCTACATAATCAAACAATTAAATAGAGGCGAAATGCTAATAAAAGAGTCTTATAACCCAGATGGTGGCTCAGTAACAGCCATTTTATGCTTAGGACAATTATAAGAAAACTACCTCAGGTAGAAACTCAAGTTTTCCTCATAATTACTCAGTTCAGTGTTAATCAACTGCAGGTAGAAGTTCCTGTAGCTTACCTATTCATTGCTCACCTCAGCTTGTTTTTCCCTAGAGCACAAACACTCACTTTTTATTTACTTAAGAGGTGTTGTAATATCTGTCAAAATGCAGAAAAAATGTGATATCACTGGTTTACACAAAAATACAATGATTTTAATCAAACTTAGCAAGATTGGTTCTTCACCTAACCTCTCCTAACAATTACCCATTTCAAAGAATTGTGAGTGTTGGTAGGAGCCTGATGATGCCCAATTGTAACTTCATAATAATCATGTTCAACACTTTTCTAAATAGAGGAAATTTATCCCACCTAAATCCAACAGTATATTTCAAATAAACCACAGTCTTCATTTTAATGCAGAGTTTCTTTACAGTTGCTTAAGTCTGGCAGCTGCTTCAAAGAAACACATTTCATAGTTTTGCTCTCAGTCTGATTTTAATTGTTTGGTCTCGAAAGACATATTTTTGAATGTACTTCAACATTAAACTAGTCAGTTCTCCTCTGTGCCTGGGTTCTTCTCTCCTCTTACAAATATTGCAACACTGATACCTAGTGGTAAAAGATGAGAACTACAGTGGTTGAAATACGCCACTAACACTGAGTGGAGAGGTAAGAAGTCTTGAAGTTCAAAAATAGTCAAATATTAATATGAGACACTTTTCGGTTTAGAATCAATCAATCAATCTATCTATCTATTTATCTATCTATCTATCTATCTATCTATCTATCTATCTATCTATCATGTTTAAAATGATACATTATCAATAAGCTAATTATTACAAGCAAACAAACAAACAAAAAAATTAGTCAATTATTTAGGACAAACATAAGAAATACAATTTTGGTAGAACTGTGCAGAAATATAAACAATATTACTGTGCATATTACTGTAAATTGAACATAAATTATTCCTGGACATTCACTGTGGTTCTCCTGACATTTGGTTGCAACCATCGACCAGCCTTGACAACATGGTCCACAAGTGTAGCCTTAATTTCATCAGGGATTTGCCTATGTACATCACCTCTTCTTCCTCTACCCCTGCTTTGTCCCCTTCCCCCTCCTCCCCGCAATTCTCACCCCTCCTCCACAATGCTGTCACTGACCTTCGATTTTTGTGTCACAGAATTATAGAAATGATACATACTACGTCCTGCTGGTTTACATATGCTTGCCAAGTGAGGGCTTATGGGATTCAGCTCTGAGTGACTGTGGACAAGTGACTTGTTATTGGTTACAAATAATGCTTCACACACCTCCTCATGAGTTAAAGTTGAGGTTCACCTGAGAGACATTGTTCAATTTAGGAGACATTTTCAGGAAAAAAAAAATGATAAAGGAGTGTATGAAATCAGCTTGACAGATTTTGACAGCTAGGTCAACAATTTTGTATGTAATGACTCAAGCAATGAAATGAGAACTATTAGTTTTTATAGGGAATGACTATTCAGCATTCTTAAGTATAGTTCATTTGGACTGACATGACATAAGCAAATGATAATGTTATAAAACAGCAGAGAAATGTACGAAAGTAACTGATACATGTCCAAGAGCATTTGCAATTTGTTCAGAGGAATGAAAACAATTGCTACGACGGTGTGCACAAATGACTCAGTGTTGTGGAGGTTGAACTAATAGTTATGAGAACTTTCATTCTGATCTGAGAAATGCACCAAAGAAACTAAGGAAAAACTGTAATAAGAGACATTATCAATAAGCTAATTATTACAAGCCACTTCTAATAATCTTATGCTTTGATATACTTTCACATTAAAATGTCATTGAAAAGAAATTTCTAGCTAAGCCAAACTATTCAGGCTAAATATATATATATATATATATATATATATATATATATATATATATATATATATATATATATATATACTATCATCTGATTGATGTGTGCGTTTTAATATAAATATAAATTATATATATTAAAACGCACACATCAATCAGATGATAGTAGTGTCATTTCTTCATGATAATGTAAAGTAACTTTTCAAGTCTACAGTCTGTCTTTTGTAACATTTTTACAGTTTTCCTCAGTTGCTTTGGTGCATTTCTCACATCACTATTAACATTTGCACAAAATGTGGAGTATTTCAACCACGTGGTAATGTAAAGTAACTTTTCAAGTCTACAGTCTGTCTTTTGTAGCGTTTTGAAATTCCTATCGGTGACTACAGTACCCAGCATGCTTGTGGCGTTGCGCCATGACGTCCTTTGACATCAACAACCCACATGTGGCCTAGCCGCGCCGTTCCAGTGCTGATAGCAACAATTGGGTAATGTGAAGCTGGCTTTCCAGGCGAATCCCATCATCAATATAATATTTATCGGTGATTCGTTTCATACATAAAGCTGTACCTGAGCCAGCATGCCTCCGAAGAAACCCGCTCCTCCCGGTGGGAATAAAAAAACTCAAGAAAAGAAAAAGGAAAAGATAATTGAGGTAATAATTACACGAGTTAGCATGTCGGTGTTTAGCGCTAGCTGTCCGGCTAATATACCGCACGCGCTGCAGCTAGCATCAGTGATCAGGATTGAAAGCTGACGTTTCACTGTCCCAGTGGCGTTTGTTGGCGATATTGACATGTTCAGTCATCTTTGAGGTGAAGTTAATGATGTCTTACAAAAGGTCTGATGCACGACAACATTACTGAAAGCTAACTTTGGTCACTTTACGGAATATTTGACGTGGCCAGAAAGCTAGCAGGGCCGGGCTGCTACACTCCTGTGTTCACAGTTTCATAGTGGGGATCAATATTTATCTGTAACAGCGATAACTACCTTGAGAAATACACACACGATGTCTCAACGGCACAGGAATCAATTGTCCGACTGATTGTTAAACATGAATAGGCGGCAGAGGCCTGTGATCGGCCTGCTAGTAGTCGCCACCTCAGGACATCCGGCGTACAGGATTTGACTCCACTGTGGGGTCGGTTTGAGGGGATGAAATCTGACTTTTACACCTCAGTTATGTGTTTCAGTGACTACAGTACTTATAGTGTCGATGTCAGTTCATAAGAGTCTACAGTGAGTCTATTAAACTTAACCAACGTAACTCTACGTCCTGTCAGCGTAGGCCGTCTGGTGTTCAGACTCAGGTCGTACTGCAGTGTGCCACACAGTTGATAGTTTTAAAGTGAGTAAAATGGTTTTATGTGACACGTATGCCACAAAACGATAGGTCATGTCTCATCAATAACATATCGTCTGTGTCCTTTGGCGACCAGAAGAGGTACTTATGAAGTCCAACTTGTGCCAGCACTCCGTGTCATGTATTTTATGATGGTTCAAAATCCAAATGGAAAAAACAAAGTAACAATACAGTATTGTGCCGTTTGTATTCGAGCCTTTTAGAGCCCGTTGTTGAATAAATTACACATCTGTTTACAAACAGGAGCTGAAAATGATTAAAAGGCATTATGGAAAATCACCTAATTCTCAAAGATGACACTTATATCTTATGTTCAGACTGAGTAGCACAAACTGAGTGTAAAGAATTCTTGTCTGAATCTTATCAAGTCATTTTGCGAATATGCTGAGTTAGTGACAGAAGAGGCGACCACTATTTGTGTACTTTAGCCTGGGTGGTGAATTTAGTGTCACGAGAGGAGCTAGACCAGTGGTTCTCAAGTCCAGTCCTCGAGGCCCACTGTCCTGCATGTTTTGGATGTTTCCCTGCTCCAACACACCTGATTCAAATGATTAGCTCGTTATGAAGCCATTACAGAGCTTGATAATGAGCTGATCATTTGAACCAGGTGTGTTGGAGCAGGGAAACATGCAGGACAGTGGGCCTCGAGGATTGGACTTGAGAACCACTGAGCTACACAAATATGAAGAAGAGGACTTTTGAGTTTTTATTTATTCACTTATTTATGTAGGATTTATCAGCTGATTATAGCGTCTGCAAGGTCAAGAGCAGGGCAGTTAATAACATTTAAATAGATATGGACATTCAATAAATTTCCCCTTCAATAAAATGCAGGAATGTCACTGTGTATTAATTCCTCATCCTTTGTAGTTTGTAGTCATAACTTATTATATCAAATGAAAAAAAGAGACTCAGAACTTGATATTCTGCTGAAAACTACTTGTTCATCGAATGTTACTTAAAGTTAATGGTGTAACTGTGTTTTTTTTTTTTTTTTTTGTCTTCAGGATAAGACATTCGGCTTAAAGAATAAAAAAGGGGCCAAGCAGCAGAAGTTCATCAAGAACGTCACTCAGCAAGTCAAATATGGACAACAAAGTGCCAGACAGGTTGGAAGCCAATTTTGTTTGCGCTGTGATTTCCTCCATCCTTCTCCATCAAACCAATGTTTTCTTTCTCTCTCTGTCTATTTCTCAATATTCTTTAACACACTGGTTTATGATTTCAGCTGTGAAATATTTATTGCACCTCCTGTGAGGAGCTTTTGCCCACCTGGCTGTTAGGCGGTAATTCTGCTGTAAATGTAAAATGATTGAATCACCTTGGTGCCTGTTAAATTTAGGGTAATTTAAATGGATAATATTTGCAGATGTGTGTTTGTGTTCGCAGGCTACCCAGGCAGACGCTGACAAGACCAACAAGAAGGCTGATAAGAAAAAGGAGTTGGATGAACTCAATGAGTTATTTAAACCGGTAGTGGCTGCACAGAAGGTTAGCAAAGGTAATCAACATTGTCTGCACAAGGGATTTGAGAGTACCGTCAGCTTTTACCAGTTGCTCTTGTGTGTGTGAGCTCATAAAATACACTGTTAACTGTTCATTCTTCATTTTGTCTTCGCTGCAGGTGTGGACCCGAAGTCAGTCTTGTGTGCGTTCTTTAAGCAGGGCCAGTGTACTAAAGGTGATAAGTGCAAATTCAGCCATGATCTGTTAATGGAGAGGAAATGTGAGAAGAGAAGCGTCTATGTGGATGAAAGAGACGAAGACCTGGAGAAAGGTCAGTGTTGAGGTGTAGGTGACAAGCCAAACAATGAGGATTCTTTCTTATTGAAACCTGAGAATGAATCGCAAAACACTTTAATGTCTTGTCAGGGTTAGCATTGTGCTTGTTTTGTTTCCTCTCAGACACTATGGAGAACTGGGATGAGAAGAAGCTGGAAGAGGTGGTCAACAAAAAACACGGAGAAGCTGAGAAGAAGAAAGCCAAAACGCAGATTGTGAGTGTTTTGTTGATGAATAATGAATGAGGAAGAAAGTGACGAATATATGGACAGTTACATTTTGATGTTAGGTAGAAAACAGAAATACAAAGGGCCAAATCTAGTAGAGTGAAATTTGTGACAGATTTTTTTCAGATCTTAACCCCAATTTCCACGGCACCGATCACAGCTGATCTTTTCCATTCACGTTAATGTGTCAAATTCCATCGGCTTCTTTCCGTCCCGCTGCGGTTCAGTGGATTCTGCAGCCGATTGCAAGAATTCTTTTTTTTTTTTTCAGACACCGCAGCATGCCGCATAAATTGAGCACAGATTAGCCCATGCTAGAAAGAAAGTCGGGCACATACATAAAATATAACATCTGACTTCTTTTCAAAATAAAACACTGTGTTTCAGGCAGACATTATTTCATGGCATGCAAACGTGGGCGGGGACGAACAAGTCAAAGGTTTTCAGACATCATTTCACCCCGTTGACACCATGGATGAGGAGATGCTATTTCTATAAGTCTAGAAGTGGATTTCCTACTCTGGAAAAGCCACAATCTACTGCTTATATGGTCATGTGGCTGTCTTTAAGGAGACAACTTGTTATCGCCAGTTGCACGGGAATCAACAGGTTCTTTTAAGTCCTCACGATTCCTGCTGTCTGACGTCTGCCAATAATTTCGCTTCACAATCACAAACAGTAGTAATTGGCAGATGGTGAAAATTGCCACCTTTCCGCAGCAGAGTTGTTCGGGATGCAGTAGAAATTGGGGGTTTGGGCGATGTAAAAGTGCTTGTTTTGTTCAGCCAGTACATAAATCTTTGATTTACTGTATTGCGTGGAATATTTTCTGTTGGAAGAGAACCCATTGTGTAAGAAATAAGCAAAGATTTCATGATAGTTTTACCATAAATGTAGGACCAACTTTGTCGTCATTGAAGCCCCAAATTGAATAGATTAAATACAGTATCCATACAAATGATCTGTTTTCTATGTCTGCCTTATGTATTATATAATCTCTGGTGTTGTGTTGTCCACAGGTCTGTAAGTACTTCCTGGATGCCATAGAGAATAATAAGTACGGCTGGTTCTGGGTGTGTCCAGGAGGTGGCGATACTTGTATGTACCGACATGCCCTGCCACCTGGATTTGTACTGAAAAAAGACAAGAAGAAGGAAGAGAAAGAGGAGGAGATTTCGCTGGAGGAACTGATAGAAAACGAGGTAAAGATGAGAGGATGGATATGAAAGCCCCACTCTGGTTTTCAATTCAAATGCTTTACTTAGTCTTGTCTTAAATTAGATCAAGTTATTAGATCAAAAGAAATCACACATATTCAATAACATATTTTATTTATTTTGAACCTTAACTTAAAAAGTTGAAACAACAAAGTATAACAGAACAAAACTATTAAAGCCTTATTGAGAGGCTTGTCGAATAACAAATAATAAATATAGTGGACTGTAAGACTGAAAAAGATTTGTAGTCAAAAAAAATAAAGTCTGCCACAGAAACAATCAGTGTTACCTAATGTAACCTGTTGTCCTCAGGTATTGATGCTGAAAATCCATAGCTACCGTACTAGGGCCTGTCATGTCAATGCTCTCTTAGGGGGTCATGTGATTGACAGTTCCCTGGACATTCCCTTTTCCTTCCACTTCTTGATGCCTGTCTCTCTCTCTCCCTGCCTGCCTGCAGCGAGCTGCCCTGGGACCTGATGTCACCCGAATCACCCTGGAGACTTTCCTGGCTTGGAAGAAGAGGAAAAGGCAGGAGAAGGTTGAGATGTGTTCAAACACTTTATAGACACCAGTTTCTCAAAAAAGCGACAGCTATTTGTATAAAACTGTGTGACCCTTTGTAATGAAAAGCTTCTGATGGCTGATGAAAATGCCACCACTCTTCATAACAAACCCAGAGAGGGTCTAAATTTTTTTTTTTTTGCTTGATTCTCATTTACCTTTTTAATATTGCTACTTTTAATACTGGTTAACAGGTGGACAAAGCACGGGAAGAGATGGAAAAGAAGAAGGCTGATTTTAAGGCTGGAAAATCGTTAGTGGTAAGTCTGGCTTCACTGCTGTGTGGAAGTGTGTGTCATTTTCTCTCCTGGTAGTGGATGTCTGGGTGTCTCTGTGCACTTAATAAATGAGGATTGAATTAAAATAACATCTGCCTTCAGATAAGCGGCCGTGAGGTGTTTGAGTTCCGTCCAGAGTTGGTCGACGACGATGATGCTGAAGCCACAGATACTCGATATGCCAGCAGTGATGAAGAAGATGATGATGTGGAAGAGGTAACTATAAAAGGCACAGAGTCACTGAATCTCTGCTGGTCCCTGCCCTCTGAGCCGAGTACAACCGTCCACAGTCAGTTGTCATTCGGCTTTGTGAGGCTTCATACTGTTTTGTGCAGTGTGGTGTCCCAGCACAATAATTGCACTCACATCATTTGGTATTGGAAACACTTTCTATTGCTTATACAATATCTGAAGTGTAATTGTGTTGTGATGATGGTACATGAGTCATTCTCGGTAGGTCAGTCTGAGTAAGTTACTCAAGACCGAGTTTTGGGGGTGGTGTTTTAGGTGGTCGATCGTAAAGTGTGTCGATAATTCTCTCCAATCTCTTAAAAGATTTTATTACAAAAAAAAAAGTTAACCTCCTTGTGGTCCTTGCTGCTTCTTTAGCTCAACATGGAAATGGAAAAACTTATGGAGTTCTGACAGTTAAAAAAGACAAATTTATCCCTTGATGGATTTACACCCAGCAAGAGTGTGGAATAAATCATTACAAAGAAGGCCTGAACATGACTAGGTGGCTTCATTTCCCACATTTTAAAGGAAAACCTAGAGCTAGGGCTGGGCAATAAATTTATAACGATATAAATATAGAAAATTAATTTCCCTCAATATAAAACTTGGTCAATATGCTTTTCAATAGTCTGCATTCTGCCATGTTTTGGTAGACTATACAAATAGCCAATGAAAAGGGGAGTTGCTCCGGATCAGCTTCGCACTGAACCAATCATGTGCTGAATTAGAACCAAGTAGTAAACAACTACATTGTAGCAGGCTGCAGCTACACACAACCATAGCACTGTAACACGTGAAGCTGACAGCACTGTTGGTGAGAAAAAAGAAAATGAGTGGCACTACCAGCAGAAATGCAGATGAAGGCTCAACAGATGATGATATCGTCGACAACACTGCCATGAAAACGTTGGTGGTGTGCAGGTATTTTAGTTTTTTTTAGGTCAGACATGGCGCAGAGTAATGTGCACTGCAAATTATGTCGAGTACATGTTCTCACAAAGTCAGGGAATACCTCAAATGTTTTTCACCACCTAAAGCAGTGTCACGAGGCAGAGCACACGTAATGAAAAAGGTTACAAACCCTGAGCGAAGCAAGGAGCCCATAGCGCCTGTGCAGCTGGAACAGCTGACCAATTAGTCCGTGCTCTCTAGCGCAACGCCTTATGACAAAACATCAAAGACCTCACAGATACAGTAGCTTATTGTATTGCAAAAGACATGCTACCAATAAGCACAGTTAAATGTCATTATTTATATCATGCTATATATCAATATCGACTGATATGAAACAAATATATATTGTGGTAAACTTTTTCCGATATCACCCAGCCCTACATAGAACCATAGTTTCCAGTACACTATTTGTTTCATTAATTAAGAATGATCAATTATAACAAACATCAATCAATGACTGGGTGATCATTATTAGATAAAGATGATGCAAAGTGGTTTGGAGCAGACTTGTTTTTTTCTGATCTTCTATATCTGTACTCCATTTTCCCAGATGGGTTGTCACAGGAGACTATTTCCTGTTAATTAACAACACCTGTGGTACACACCTGTGCTGCTGAGTCATCCCAGACTGAAAATTAGTCTGTTTAATTCTGCAGTGAATTATTTTTAACTCCATTCCCTTGATTCAGTTCAACATATTTAAACCCAGCTGTGCGCTTTCCTGTTTTTTTTCAGGCTCTAATTCCTGTCTCAGTGGGTTTCTTTTATAACAGTAGATGTTATTGCACAAACAATTATTCCTGTTAAAGGTGATTTCATGAATTCTTGAAAGTCCATTAGTTTTTCAGAATAAGTGTACTGTATGATTCTGAAAACTGCAAACATCCAGACAGATATCTCTTTAAAAATCTCAAATTCAGGTCCTCACTACAAGCCTAAGACGATCCTTATTTGACAGAACAGGATTCTGCTCTCAGGACCATGTTGACTGTGGCAGAGGAAAAAAAACACACACACATTTGCTCCCACATATGCATTTAAACTATTCTCTTGTGTCCCTCCTTTTACCTGAAAACACTTTCATTTCAGATTGATACTTCAGAGGTCCAAGACATAGACTTATCCCGTTTTGTTCCACAAGAGGTTGACAACACAGGCATTACTGTAGCATCTACAGACCGTTTTGCATCGAGGAGTACTACTCAGAGAAAGGAAACAGAAAACGGTAAGGAAAAAAAAAAATCAACGACTAACTACCAAGCCCAGACAGACATGGAACCACTTTGAACATTTATAAATAAACACATTGCTCTGCTTTCTTCTCTACTGTCCACTTTCAGAGGAGCAGCTGAACGGAGCCTGCGGTGGCACAGAGGCCAACGGCCTGTCGGGAGCAGAGGGGGGTGGGGAGGATGGAGGAGGGGAGGACGAAGAAGAAGAAGAAGACGAAGACGAGGAGGTACCGGTGGATGAGAACCTGTTTACAGGGGAAGATCTGGAGGAACTTGACGAGGAGCTCAACACGCTGGCACTTGAGGACTAAGATAGACTTCAGGATGGACTAAGTGACAAAGGGAGGGACAGATGGATGCATGGAGCTAAACAACAAAGAGACCAGATGTTTCAAGGATTTTAATTTCAGAGACTCCAGTAATAAAGCCTGATAATATCATCACATCACTGCCCTTGCTGTTTTTGTCTCGCCCCTCCCATGACCCACCAAGTCCTCTGCTTTTTTAATCCATCAGGTGTTCACGGGTACTCAAAGTTCACCAGGGCCAAATCCACATGAATACTTCTTGTCAGACTCTCCCTTGTAAGTGAATTGGCGGCTTCTGCTGCTGCGCACTTTTTGTCACTTGATAAACTCGGCGGCTGATCGTTAAATCTGAAGTTGCATTTAATTAATCCTGACCCAATCACCAGCTACATATTGAATAAATTAGTGTGGCTAATAAAGAGCCATGGTTCTGTTGCGTGAAATTGACTGTTCAGAGCTTCAGGTTGCGTTGTTGTCAATCTAGTCAAGATCCTCCACAATAAATCAGTTCAGCGTAGCTTAAAGCCCCTGCTGATAATTCTTGTACTGCCCTCTGAGACCACAATGATGCTTTAACTCCACCCTAGCAGGGACACCAAATGGTCCCATTGCCACCCCTGTAATGTAAATAATGTTTTCATGAGATGCCTCCAGAAGAAATAAAAGATCATTGTACATTCAGTTTGTGCCTCTTTTTGGGTAATCCAGAGTTCCACATTATGATAAAAAGGACCTTATTTCTAGTCTAGGACTTGGGTCTGAATCACCAAACTCTGAGCCACAGCTGCCCCTCAAAGATAGATTCTAAAATCAGTTCCCATTTATTCTGGTTAACTCATTTCAAACAGTGGTTGACCAGCCACCATGAGCAACAAAACTCTGCAAAAGTCCTTTTCCCTTCTTACAGCAAACCTGTATTGGTTGGTATACCATCATAACCAACTTGCTCCTGCTGCACCCTAGTGGACAAAAAGTTATTAAATGTTTACATTTACAGATGTAAACGACAATTCTTTAAAAAAAATAAATAAATAAAAAGGACTTTTTTGCATGCAGGAAACAGTGTTTATAAACCAAAGTACTGCCAGGTCTCAGTGTTACCTTGCAAGTTGGTTTAAAGAAACACTGACTTGTGTATGAATAAGTATTACTCAGGTACAATTATTCACTGGGACTGACAAGGAGTCAGTGAATGTTTACCACTCTGACTATCCTGTTTTTGTGCCAGTGGTATTCAAATTTCAAAGACCACTACAACGATCCCCTTAGAAAACAATATCTTATTCTCAAAATAGATAAACTTTTGGAGCTGTTATCCATGATGCCCTAATCAACCAAGAGGATGGCCTATCAGTGTCCCAAGATGCACACATAAATCACATAGATGGCATTGTCTAAAGCAGTGGTCCAACACACCTGATTCAAATGATAAGCTCGTTATCGAGCTCTGTAATGGCTTAATAACGAGCTAATCATTTGAATCAGGTGTGTTGGAGCAGGGAAACATCCAAAACATGAAGGACAGTGGGCCTCGAGGACCGGACTTCTGACAATGAACATGACCATAACTTTCTCCAACTGTAACTAATGCAGCAACATGACAGTAGAACATGGAATTGTAAGAAAGAGGATTAGGGCCACAAGAAGAGAAAAAAAATAATTACAGGAGGAAGTTATTTTTTAATTCCATTTCAAGATCGAAGTTAAATTTTAAAAAGTCAAAATGAAAAAGATTGCATTTTGCACAGGGCGGCAACGTCCTCCAAGTTTTTTTTCTTCTGTAGAGTCGTAATCTTCAGCACAGTCTTTTCGGAATCTGAATACTTATGACCACATTGTGTTAGTGTGCTAAAAGAACAAGGATTTCCTTGTTACTAAATCCAATTCAAAAGTAAAGCTTTACAAACTGTTCTACAGAGGACATGTTGTCGATTGACAAGCGACAATGCTGTTGATTCATTATCATTAATCTCGACATAACGACTTTTTTCATTAAATTTTGAATTTATTTGCGCCGACTTACATCTCATAATTTTGACCTATATCTCGAGATTTCAATTCAATTCACGAAATTTCAACTTTATTCATGTCAACTTTGATCTCGAAATTTCAACTTAAAACTCAAATGTTACCTTTTTTTAAATCTCAGAATTTGGACATTATTCACAACGTTCAAAATCTCAAAATTTCAACTTTATTGACATAATTCCAATTTTTTTTATCTCAAAATTTTGCTTTTAATCTCCTTCCTGTAATATTTTTTTCCCCTCTTCATGTAACCCTAATCCTCTTTCATAAAACTGTATATCAACTGGACCTGTGTTGCATTTTCATTTTCTCACATTACATAGTAAAACAAGTTGATGGCAGCAAGTCAGGTCAGACCAAAAATGATTTGAAACATCACACACTGAAAAGATTCATCATGAAACATCAATACCATTAAATGCTCAAAAAAGGTAGGGACAAAAATGAGCTCGAGACTGGTAAGAAAGAGACAGACACAAGACAAGCTGAATATGTGACTGATCTTTATTCATACTAGGAAAAAAAAACCTCACAGTCTAATAAACACATTTGACCTAACATGGCAAAAAAATTACACACAAAAATTAACAATTTACAAATCCTTCACTCTTACCCAGTTTTCAGAAGAAAATGCTGCGAACCAAAACTATTCAGATCTTTAAACTCATATGCGTCTTCAACAGACTGCTTTTGCACTCTAGCTGTACAACTTAGTCCAAAAGTGTCAAGGCTGTAATAATGGACTTAAAAAACAAGCATGACACTGAGCACAAACTACTTACGCTGACAACGTTGCTGCTGTCCACAGACAGTCAGTAGGTTATAGTTAATTTTAGCAGTGAACACTATTGTGCACTTGTAACTGTATATCAGTGAGTCGAGGCAAGGTCACTGGACAGAGGGTATCGGTCAGACAGGTGTCAAAAGGTCGTGTCAGAGGTCAGGAGAAGGTCTTGATGTCGGTCGGTCGGTCTGTCAGGTCAGGTGTCATTGTGTCATGACAACAGTCGCCTGGGGAACAAAGAGCTGCAGCGTTATTCATAGGAACAACAGAAATAACTGTCATCAGACACTTGTTGATATTCTGTCAAAGGGTGCAAAAAGCAGTGACAGCAGTTAACAGGTGAATGGAAGAAAGCATGTGGATGTGACAAGTATTTGAATGTGGAGGTAAAACTAATGTAGAGAGCGCATTTCAAGGAGTCTGTTTTGAGAAAAAAAGTTACCCCTCTGACATTTATCAACCCTTACTTTCCCTTAAACAAAAGTTAAAGCGCTAAACTTCAGCTTAGAGGTGTATATCAACCCCGCCACACTTTTGCTAGCTCTGCTAACATGCTAACAGACTATCCCCCCTGAAATGGTTGGTTCTAGGGGCTGAACAGTTTATTGTTTTCAAAACGAAATTGCGATTTCAGACAGCATGATTGTGTGATAGCCAAAGCTACATTTTTATTTTTTGCTGTGCTCCTGACTGGCTCAAGATCTGTTGTATGTCATCTATTTTACATTTACATGCCGTCTCCCCACCGTCCTGCCAAACTCACCAGTCAGAAGCTGCATATGCTACTCATGGGCAGGTCACATCAACCAATCAATATTAACCTGCTCTCCATGTTTTCAAAATGGCTTCAGCGCAACCACGAGCAGAATTAGGTGATTTAATCCCCAAGAAAGGAGGCACGGTGGTCATCTCTGAGTATTTTTGGGGCTGCAGACGTGCACCAGAAACAGGTAGGCTACTGTGCAAAACCTGTCGTGCTAAAGTTGCTACATCAAGCGGAAACACAACCAACTTATACCGGCACTTGAAAAAGCACCACAGGCACTTGCATGAGGAGTGAATGAAGAAAAAGTCTGGTGAAAAGTCGAATAAACATGAGTCTCAGGCCCACTGTAGCAAACAGACTACAATTAGAACATCTGATTAGTGGGCTGAGTTGTGCCAGTTTTTACTTAGTGTCTTTCAAGCAAGGGGATGACAGTAATACCACCAACTAAAATATGTACATATGGCTAAGGATGTGGTGCATCCCTGGGAACAAAAACTTTGAATCTTAAACAAACTGTTTGAGAAATATAGCTTTAGAAAAATAAGTGGTCTTGTTGCACAACTTTCCCCAGGGCGGGGTAAACTGTGCCTTTGGAGAGAATACATTAGGGTAAATGGTGCCACATCGTTTGAATCTTACAAACAGTAATGCTCTATAAAAGTTAGAGAAATTCAATACAAAATTACTTATTTAACATTTATTTATGTTAAATAAGGCCTTTGGCACCACATGAGCACATTTAGAACATAATCAGCTGCAATTCTAAACCAAGCTACGAATCAACAATGCTGCAGGGGGATATGAACTTCTGCTCCCTTCTGGTTGAACCACCAAGTCTTTGTGGTGAGGGTAGTTTCTTGAGCACATGACCTCTAGGGATGACTCCATTTTCTTTAAATGTCAAGATTGGCTTCCCATCCACAATTCTTACCTTTATTTTTCATTCTTGCATTAAAGTAATACCTTTTTATGTTTTGATTTGTAAATGTTCCTGTACACATTGTGAATGTTGCACTGCAGCTTGATTGGAAGAAAATCGTGAATCGAATTGAAATTGCAATTTCTGCCAGAAAAATCGCAGTTCGGTCTTTTCCTAAAATCGTTCAGCCTTAAATGGTTCTATCTAAAACTCCCACTGAGTCACTAGAAAACCTGAGATCATCAAAGAAGTTTTTGTTGGTATATATCAAAACAATTAAAGATGCTTTTTTTTAGCTTAAATTTTACTTTAACAAATGAAATACCCTTTTTATGTTTTATCGGACAGAAACAAGTTACTTACTTTACTCAGTGGATTCAATCTGCCACTGACTTCCTCTGTACACACTGATGTGGTGCATTACTTTACTTACTTGAATTACTTTTCTTATCTAGGTTGTCAGTTTGTACATCCACATGGCGCATGAAGCAATGCAAAAAAATCTCACCTCACATTTTCTTAAGCCAGGACTATCAATGTACCCGAATTGTTTGCACAAGCCCAGCAGAGCACATTTACACTATTCTTCATATAACCCTTGGAGAACAAACGCGAAATACTCTTGTAGTCAACTTAGCAGTGAGTTATACTGGTGTTACCTGCAGAAGGGAACTCAGCACTTACCAGTTATTTTTGTCTCGGGGTCCTAGTAGATACGGGGTCGCTTGTGAGACTCTTCTCTGGGAGGATCGGCCAGCATCACCTTCATCTTCACCCCGTTTACAACCCGACCGTGGAGCACTGCCATGGCATCGTCTGCGCACTTAGAGGTAGACACGAATAAAATCCCGGGATATTTATTTGATCTCCTCACGAAACAAATCCACATTCCTCAATGGTGCTAATAAACCAGATGATACTTATATTAACTTCACTAGCTTTCTCACCTGTTTGTCTGCATACTTCATGTATCCGACCTTCCTTCCAGGCACCAAATGGACCTCAATAAGGGAACCAAAGCGACTAGAGTGAGATAAAAAGGAGGGAAAAAAAGATTACAGTAATGCTTAACTATATGACAGTGAGCTACATGTAGTTTGAGAAGAGAATATAATCTGCAACAACAGGCTTGTATTAGTGTTATGATGCTTGTGAAAGGTTAGCTCGCATTGATTTGGATTAAACGAACAGTAACTACGCTGTAAGACTGTTAGCTGAAACTTACAGCATCTAGTAGCTGGACTATTATTTTAAGAAAGCACAAGTATTTTTCCATAGTAAAGCAAAATATATACACACAGGCATAGTTAAAGTTAAGTCATTTTAGGTGTGAATACATCACATTTACCAGAAAACATCCTCCAGGACCTCCATGGGCAGTGGGGAGGGGCTGAACACAACAAACAAGCGCTCTTTGGCCTTGCTGTCAGGTGGAGCGAGCTTCTTCATAGGAGGCAGGTTTACGTCTGTCTGAATCCGGGACATGGTGGAGACAGCCGAGAAACCCTGATGGATACAAATTAACACACCCATGATCAGTAAAATAACCAGTTCAAACTCGACTATCTTTGCTGCTGCAGTGTTTTGATGCCTGGAATCAAATACGAGCTGCATATACTCACTGGAGGTTTCATGACTTGGCTGGTGGAGGGTCCGTTCCAAACTGCAGACATCATCTGGGCTGCAACCAACTGCATAGCCATCCGACCTACTGGACTGCACACCGAAAAAGCAAGCAGGTGTTCAATCTTCACATTATATCACACTGATTACTGATGAAAGATGACCCGATTTTAAGCCTCAGCTGCATACTGATAATCCATCTTCTATACTGTATACCACAGCAAGGATTGTACAGGGCTGGTTAAGACCCCAGCTTTGGGTATGACATAGGTCCAGTCTACAGTTCCAAATATAGTGGCTTTAAGGCACATTGTCGACAAGTCCACAGGGGGCTTCAGGCCATTCCATTGTCGAATTGTGAAGTGCATGAGGGATCTCTAGCAGACTTTTTAAGCCTTTCACAAACCCTGTGTATCAGTGGGCATACCTGCAGACTTAGAGGGGTGAACTACTGCACCACAGAACTGGACATAATTTAAGGGGTCTGAAGTGTACTCAATTTTTGTGTTTAATTGCAAATAAGAAATTATTTTGTACCCCAAAGACCTTTCTACGGTGTGGAAATAGTAACAATCTTCCTTACAGGACCCAGTTCAGCTTACAGTTTGCCCCAGTTTGGATTTAGAACAATGGTGATTCCTCTTGATGGTGCCAAAATCTAAAACCACTTCAGATGCATCCTTAGTTGATCTTTATGTAGACCACTTGCTCTTTCTTCTTTTGTTCTTCATCAGGACTCTTCCTGAAACAACCACTCTGTCATTTTGGACCACAGGGGACAATGGCCGCATTCAACCATGAATATCTTACACTAAATCAAATTACTGCAAAGAAATTCAGAGACGGTGGAAGTAAAATACCAGTGGCATTTTGCTGCTGATTTAAGATTAGTGGACATATCAACTTTAAAGGGCATTTCATGTGTGTGTGCTCATTAATTTTGACCCTTCTGTATAATTAGAATGAGTGCTGCTGGTGTGTGCAATAAAATAAATCTGAGTTCAGGGCACAGCTTCATACTCTGAATTGTACCAAATCAGTCAATAACAGGATGGGGTTGCAGGGGGCACCAGATGGCTGGAGGTACATTGACCTGGTGGTGTTGACAATCCTTTTATTTCAAGATGTGGACTTCAGCATTGGCCTTGGATGGAATGATTTCAATTGGTGGATGACAACAATGTCAGATGTCTTCTGTTGATATCTTATATACATGACAGGATGTTTACCTGCTGCGGTCTTCTCCGTCATCAACAAAGTTTACCACCAGTCTGTTTCCAGGTGGATATTCAAAGCCATTCAGCTTTTCCTTTGCATAAACAGCTGATCCCAAGTTACTGTAGCGAATCAAAGCGTGACCTAAAGGCACATGACAAGAAAAAACTGTGCTGGATTTTTACATGTCCCCAAGAAGCAGAAGTACAACGTTTGGTGGCAAAATTCATGGTGACTCTTAAATTAAAAGTACTTAGGAGGACTAAAACACTTATTTTGTGCTTTACCACCGACCTTTACTCATCCCATAAGCGTCTCTTTGCAGCTCACAGTATTCCATGCCAGGAATGAGGTCAAACAGAGCAAAAATCTGCTCCTGGGAAAGTGCGGCTCGAGTTGATATCATAAGGCACCGTGTGAAATCACCAGAGCGGTAGTCCATCACCTGATAGTTGCCAGGTTCAGCTGTATGGGGAGGAACAACAACAGAGTTACAAGAAACACAGCAGAAAGCAATTCATAGAAAGTCAATTCAACAATTTACAACAACCATAAGAAAACTATGTCAATGAACTTAAAAGACATCTGTGCTAATTCCAATTCATTGGTACTTTCCTTAGAGGGGTATTCTGGCGTAAAATTAAGTTAGGGTCAAACACACTGTAACACTGAATTACACAGCCCGGTGAAAGATGAATGTTGCCGACTGCTTGCTTCTCTAGTTGTACCAATTTCAGCGACTACCACACAATCACTTGAAGATCAACTCGTCAGGGCTCCCCCACAAACTAGTGGCTGCTGGATGAGAGAGGGTGATTTGTGTTTTTTGGTCTCTTTGTTAAAGAGACCAGGCAAGCTAAAAAGATGTTTGATGGCTAGTACTATGGCTAGGACTCTATATGTACTGTTGATGAAGTTAGGTGCTGTTCTGAACATTATTTGTGGCTATAGAGTGGCTTTTTGGTTGAGGTTTGTGCATGGAGACGTAGACCACTGTGTATTGCCATCATGCGGTCATTGCTGAAGTTGATATAACAAGAGAAGCAGGCGTCATCAAAATTCATCTCTCGGGGGGGTTGACTCTAGTTTGACTCTAACTTAATTTCACGCTGGAATATCCCTTTAACTTTGACAGATTCTTATGGTGAGGCAAATCAACAAAGTGTTTTATATTAAACACCTCAAGGAAATTTATGATAATCAAAAATGATCCCCTTTTTTAAGCCATGTAGCCCAGCCCCTCACCTGACAGACAACAATGCAGACATAACTCAGAGAAATACAAGAAGATATCAAACAGCAGCATACCCATAGGGAAGGCATACGAGTTCACCGGGTCACCCCCGCCCATGTAGTCACCTCTTGGTGCTCCTCCACTGTATTCATCTGGAGCTGTGTTCTTAGTACGTGGCTCAGCCAGAATGGCCCTGTAGGCTAAAAACATAACCCTAAGTGTAATCCTCATCATCCACATTATTATCAATATGAATATCAGTGAGGCAGTGACAGTTCTGAGTGACAGAAAGTGTCCAAAACAGTTAACACAAAGGTGCTTAAACATTTTAAACAACGTTGACACTGTCTTACTTTTGTCACAGTTTTCGATAGCAAGAGCAGCCTGGGAGGGTTTGTAGTATCTCACATAGCCGAGTCCTTTACTTTCTCCAGTGGTCTTGTTCTTAATGATCACACAGTACTCAATATCCCCATATTCCTAGAGAACATAAAGGTAAGAGGGCAAATGAATTCCTATTGATTTCTATAAATTGGTTGTCAAAGAAAGCACATTATTTGGCGTCTCCTTATACACATAATGTGGCAACATTTTTTCATAGCCAATATGGAGTAAATAAACATATGTAATAGAGCAGGAACTTTAAACTTCTACTTGTGATACACTGCTATTATGCATTTAAAAAAAGAGCACCGAAGAAAAAGCCATGAAATCTGAAAGTTTTAGAGCTTGGAGAAACAATGATTTCTCTAGTGTACCAAAGCTGTCAAACTCCTGCTGATATCCTGGACATTTCTTACTTTACATAGGGATTTTGTCAACATTTCAGTGTTAGCACAGGCATTTAGGGAAAACGGAAAATGGTAAAATGAGATGAAAGCACAGCAACTGATGGAGAAAGTGAGTGGATATTACCTTGAAAGTTTCTTTGAGGTCCTCCTCTGAAAAGGTTTTGGGGATCATAACAAAAATCCTAGTCAGCTCCTCATCTTCAACATCTCTGTGTCTTGTAGAGGACCGCGACTGAGCTATGAATACCTACATAACAAGCAGTAACAGCAAGAAAGATTATTGTTAAAAATGCAAAAAATATGTAGTCCAATGAATTTGATGTTTTAGATTACAATTCCAAATAATCCAAAATGACATCCACCTTTATAAGGACAATTAATCAAAAGGAGCAATCCACCAAACTATACAAGGCCGTTACCTCCATTTTCCAACTGCATAGAATCCTGCTGATAGGGTTTCAGTCTGAAAGGCTCAAATACGTTGGCTATTGGATCAAACTTTTTTTCTACTCAATGCTTCCCACATTGAAATAGTAAATCAAGATTTTCCACCTTCTCTGTTTACACTGGCATTCAATCTACAGTATGATAGCACTGAGTTTCCAGGGAAGTTATCTTCGCCTCAGCTGTTAGGAGGTTAAGTTGAGGAGAACATCAACGGTTAGACGTTAATAACGACAATATGAGATGCTAACTTTGGAAGCCGTTAAGGGAGAGCAAGTTGGTGTAAAACCATTTATTAAGTGCATTGGAAACAACTTTCATACATACAACTAGAGACAACATTCAAACATACAAATTGGAAACATTATTTACACAAACAACCGTCACACAGGTGTTGTTGAGTCTCGCTGGGAGGCGTTAACGTCGCAACCGTTGCTGCTCTCTAACTAGCATTTGGACGGTTGAATGTTGTCTTTCTGTTAGCTAACCAGACACTCGTTTCGGTGCCTTAACCTCTGAGTTTACCTTGACTGGTTTCGTCCCCTCCACCAACACTTTGCCGTGCATGTCTTCCATGGCTAAGCAGGCCTGCGAAGATTTGGCGAACTTCACATAAGCGATCCCTTTGGACTCTTTTGTCTGCTTGTCTTTGACGACCCAAACCCCTTGGATGTCCCCAAACGCGAGGAAACTTTCCCGCAGCTCATCTTCGGTTACAGATCGACTTGTAACCACGAAAAGCCGACTGTTAGGGGGATCGTCGAGATTTTCTGCGACTTGTTTAGACGGGTACTCCTCCATTTTTGCTTCCTTCTGGACAGTGCTGGTTGCCGTTGGTGATGCCTTCGCGTGCTCCACGGAAATACGACACTCTGCTCGCTTGTGAAACTCTACAGTCTAATTTTACCCCAGACGTTTCGCGTGACAATTTACACATTTCAATTCCTTATTATTCCTTATTATTTATCGTACAGTACTGACAAGTGCACTTTGTCCTGCCTTGTAGATTAAATCTATTTTTTATTCTAGCAGAAGGTGTTTTTGTTGATTTTGTGTATTCCCATAACCATGAAGTTGCCGTTAGAAACAATAACACGTAGAACATTTGTCGCCACTTACTGGGCTGGAGGTACTGGCTTTCGGTGTTTGTTACGAAAACATCCTTCAGAGAGCTTTTGTAACTCACCATTGATAGGTTTTGTAAGTGTTTGTATCATTCATTGACGAAAAAAAAAACACTTGAAAGACTGTGAAATAAGAGGTGTGTGGCCTTTTTTCCCGCTTGACTAATATCTACAGCAAATGATGGCATTGCAAAAATAGGGTTTAAATTTAAGGAGACTTGTACAATAATATCAGCAAGTTAATGCCAACAAAAAGATAGCCTTTTACTGCAAATGGTCAATTCTAACTATTATTTTAGAAATGTAATTATTGTTACCCAGTCTTACACATTTATAACCTTTTTTGCATTCATCAAATACACAGAATTCATATTGATGCCTTTATACGATAAAGAAAAGAAAAAAGGCTATTAGAAACAAAAAAAGTGATGATTTTTTAATGCTGTTATTTTTTTTATACCCAAAACCAACACAAAAGGGTACAAGTGTCATTGGAGCCATTGAGTAAAAAGTCCTGTTTTAAATTTATTATTCACAAAAACTGATAAACTTGACTGTAAAAGGTCATCAGATTTAGATTCTTGTCAGAGGATACTTCTCTAACATGAAAAGAGAAGACTGTTTTGTCCACAGGGGGGCCAAAATTGGCACAAACTAGACGTTTCTCACAGGAGCTTTAAAGCAGGTCTGAATGCTGTTGTTAACTGAGGTGGAACCATAGACTGGAACCCTCACTTCAACTATTTCTACAGGATTGTAATTTAGGATGGTTGCTATCCTTGATAAATCTACTTACTGTTTTCTGCCAGTCGTTGAATATGATTTGCAACCCTCAAACTATCTGCTTTGGTGAATTAAAAATCAAATATTCAGATTCCCTTGATTTAATAAACCAAGGGAAAGAAAGCAGCAAACTCAGTGAAGGTAGAATTATATGCACAGTTTATTGTTTTAAATCTATGGCAACTTGAGTCATATTCAAAACGTAATGATTCCCTCTTTATTGATTTATACACATTTGTCTTGTACTTTGAGAAAAAGGGAGGGTATGCAAAAAAAAATAAAAAAAAAATCATAGAAATAGTTTTGAAATGAACCTGCTAGATTACCAAACCAAAGGTACATTCTCAGTCCAAATGATTAACCTATAAATTGAAATGCTTAACATTAACTGAATAATGAATATTGTTCATGACTAAAATATATCACATTTATGTTTTGTATCACATATGGCTGCATTCACCCACCTAACACAATCAAATGCCAGTCAGCTGATAAGGTGTCGTCAGAGGCTTGTGACTCGATTATCAAGTTGAGGTGAGGGTCTCATGAATGATTTACAGCAGTGGCATCAGGTCGTGCGTGCGTGTTAGACAAGTTGAGCGACCCCATTTGAGGACGAATGTGTCATTGTAGTAGACCAATATAGCCTACTAAAACAACGAGAGAGCAAACGAGGAGAACATTTTGCTTATCAAAATTATGGACTAGATACACTGTGCTTTCATTGTTCCGCTCTTAATGGCTGAATTCGCAACGCCCTTCACGTGAAGAACCATTACAAACCCAACATTTTACTCATAAGTTAAAATAAAGCCCATTGTCCAGGGATTTTTTTATTTATTCACATTATGGGAATTTGAATGAAACTTTGAATGACTGAGAACTTTGTCCAGATTTCTGTGTTTCGGCATGGTAAATATGCGCTGTCTCATATTCGGACACCAGCAGGTGCTTTGAGTTCAACAGCGGAGGAATCCAAGAGGGCGCGAGGACCTGTCCTATTACAGTCTACAGCTTCCTTTATTAGACCGTTGCTCAGTTGTAACGACAAAAAAGACGATATTTTTGTCCTATATATAAATATTATTTTACTATTTTTGTTTCGAATTTTTATCCCCCCAAAACAAAGGGATTTCTAGATAAAAAACGTGTGACAAAAGACCAGATAAGGACGTTTAAGTAACATACATTTGGCGAAATGAGACTCAGCCGGATTGAAGGGTACACGTCATGATCCAGAGGCGCCCAGCACGCACGTGATTGGATGATGACGTCAAAAGCCGGTGCCTCTAAAGTGAAGTGACCTTCTTTCCGTCCGCCAGACAGCGCTCATCAGCCGCTAGAAGCAGCTCACACCTACACCGGAGGGAGGGAATCCAATTCTAACCAAAAGGTAAACTCATCCTCTTTTACATTTACTTGAAGCCGGGCGAGCTTTGTTTTTTATATTGTTTTCTCTGTAGAAGGATACAAAGGAGATGCTGGGCGGTTACGGTGCTCTCTAAGCTAACGGGAGCTCCCATGTTGGTGAATAGCTGGGCTGCTCTCTATGCGTAAACCACAAGGGTTAACCTAGCCTGTTATTTAAGACTGTGCACGGTGACTGTAACTCGTATTGAATAATTTCAGGGGATATTCATATGTGTGTCCTCAACTCGTGCCTTATGACCCTATGTTTTGATGGCGTTAGCTGAGAGCCGCAGTGTGGGGAGGAACACAAGGACACCGACATTGAAGCATCCTTGACAGCCTGGGTGGGATACACATCCGAGGCGAATATTAACCACCAGACCAGCTAAAATGCTAATGTTAGCGATATAAATCCAGCATGCTGAAGACGAAGATCTTATAACATCGTGATGTTATCGTGGTTTGAGCAGCAGCTCTGTGTCCTTGATGCCTTATTAGAAGTCTGCTGGTGGTCCCGCCATGTTTCTGCCCAGGAAGGGGCTCATATTATCCTCTCACACCTACGATGATTCAATGTACAAATATGACAAAAACATTGTGGCACATTTTTTAGGGTAAGCCCTTTTTAAGTCATGTTGATCAGCCTTTCATTGACATGATCAAACAGAATAAGAAATCACTGTTTCATTGATACCTTTGTTTATTTAATACTGTTAAGACTGATGTTAATTGCTTTAGGACCAAAGCTTATCCGAGCAGTAAAGTGTCACACTTAGCATGTATACTTTTCTCGATGCTGCGGTCCTGAACGGAGGTCATGTGAGGACAGTGAAGCCGGGCCCGTGTTGCGCTAAAATATGCGCTCCGTCTCAAGGAGTATAAGGTGACAGTGCACCGTCATTGAAGAACACGAAACGTCAAGACTAACACATCTATAATGCGGTTTTCCGAGGTCCAAGCGCAGTTTACTAAGTGGTTGTAAGCTAATTATTAGTGCCTTGAAGAAATGTACCTGTCATTGGTTTGGGGACAAAATTAGAAAAGTTACATTTTCCGGCACAACACCTGCCAGTCGTCTGTTACAGGCGGCAGCAGTCTTATAATTCACCTTTAAGTACATTTATGTTGGCTCTGCTCCGTCGGAGCGACACAAGCTTAACCCTTGAGGCGGACAGGCTTAAGACAAACCTTAATCACCGGACCAGCCGCGGAACTTTCAAGATTAGTAACCCGAGCTGAGGAGTCCTGTGGCCGGGAAAACGAGTAGTGAGAACAGACAATACCAGAGCGAGCTGTAGCCGGGCTAACTCGTTTGGTGTGGGAGTGAACCATGAATGTAGATATTTCCCTGAACCGCCCAAGGCAGTGTGCCAGTGTCCGGGATGAACATCTTGACGTGGAGTAAATGAAAGCAGAACTACCGGCACTAAAAGTTGTCACCTTAAGCGACCTTCACAAGATGGCGCCCATAAGACTACAGTAGTGAATGGGCTTCCTCCCATAAACAGGGCTATGAATAGATACTGTAGATGGGCAGCTGTACTTGGAAATCAGTGTTTAGAAGTTGAGAAGACGAACACTGGAGACTTGTCATAGTTTTCAAATATGTTATGTAAACACACAGCCCTGTTTTATTTTGTGATATTATGTTAATGTGATACATTTCTTTAATTTATGACTTATTTGTGCTGACCGCTCTGTTTTTATTCTCTATTCTTCCAGTTGACTATGGGAGACGTTGCCAAGGGAAAAAAGACCTTTGTCCAGAAGTGTGCCCAGTGCCACACAGTAGAGGATGGGGGCAAGCACAAGGTAGGCCCCAACCTCTTTGGTATCTTCGGTCGCAAGACTGGGCAGGCGGAGGGCTACTCGTACACGGATGCCAACAAGAGTAAAGGTCAGTTTTTCAGTGGTTTAATAAACCTTCTTTATTGCTCTCTATCTTGTGTTGTCTGAGCTGTAACAGGATAACCGCTTTATATGAGGCTTCTCAATTGTACTGGCTGAAAGATGTGTGTGAAAAGCAGACAATTTGAAGGTAATTTAGGTTATTGATTCCATTATCAGTGAGTATATATTGGAAGCACTAAATGCAATGATCTGATGATGTAAGTGGAAAAAAGCTGTAAACCCACACAACTGAGGAGCTAAAACCTGAATATTTAAAAATATATTCTATTTATAGCAGGTGTTTTCAGTTGTTCTTTTTAGCCTCCTTTGTTAAACCCTTTAAGCTCTAATATCATTAGCAGTTCATACTTAAGGTTTAAAGGGTTGTGTAAAGTGGAGCCCTGTGTTACTTGGTCTTACTTATCCACATGGCTTTAGGGTCAGATCCCTCTTAGTTGTCTTGATTAGACCTTCATAATCTGATCCGTCCTTAATCACTGTCCCGCATCTTGGTCTCAGGTATTGTGTGGAGTGAGACAACCCTGATGGAGTACCTGGAGAACCCAAAGAAGTACATTCCAGGAACCAAAATGATCTTTGCTGGCATCAAGAAGAAGGGAGAGCGCCAGGACCTTGTTGCATACCTGAAATCGGCAACATCATGAGCTGACTATCAAAATCAGAAGATTTAATGTCATTTTAATGTATTTTGTTTATTTTTAGGCATGCATATGCTTAATATATGGTTTTATGTTTAGTCATTTTTACACATGGTTTATTTATGCTGTGTACGGTTGAAAAAGTGGCACTTTTTATGAAGAAACAAGTGTGACTTTTTCTTTGAGGTCCTGCTGCGAACAATTGCTAAAGTGGCTAAACACAAAACTACAATTTGTTCTTCATTTTTTGCTGGTCTGTACTTTGACTGTAATGAGATGAACAAACTAATAATAGTATTTAAAATGTCTAGCCATGATAGCTTTCTTGAAACGTCCCTTTTTCTGTTTTCCATGACAACGCTAGTTTGGTACTTTCTGTCTGCAGAGCCATTACTTCAGCGTCTTTTTTCTTTTTTTTTTGAAAATCTATTCAGTTAAAGATCTCATAATACCAGTCACAACACAGTGGTACAGGGTAGAAGATGGTACTTTTGGTGGCTGACGGAAGCTTATTGTGAATCCAGTACCAGCCTTCATGCCAGCTGGAGTTTCGAACCCAAGAAGAGGCAGCATTTAAACTCTCCACACTGCCTCTTTTCTAGCCCCACTTTTTGGTGTTCAGAAACTACCACTTGCCAGGAATGCTTTCTAGATTTCACTTTGTGAATATTTGTCCTCTGAAATTTTTAACTAAACCTCTTATTGCATTTAAGGACTCCAAACAGAGCCTGATCTGTAAGGTTACTGAAGCAGCCCCCTTTAAGTTTCCCTTTACAGGCCCTTCCTCCCTTCAAACTCAGTATGAATTTCTAAAAGTTTGCAAAGAGTCACACACAGTTTTCTGCCTCAGCACAGCTAAAGATTGTGGTATTTACCCTGTCTACCAATTCTGCTCAGCTACTGTATTATACAGAAAAAATTTGGGGGCACCACCTGCAGTGAGGAAAGTTGTTATGCACCTGGTTTCACAGGCCTGAGAGATGTTGTTTTAACTTATTTTAATGTCATCTGAAAGACAAACTTGTAACATATATTGAAGGGGCTGCTTGCTGTATGTATGTACAGCAGTTTACTGTATGCACAGAAATAATAATATAATGTGGTAGCTATGTTGTGTATGGACAGGATGGATGACGGATCAATAAAAAAACATCTGAAATGTGAACATGTCTTTTTCTTTTATTGTGTGTCTGTTGATATAAAACGACCCGTGATGTTGATGTCAACTGTGGTAATGATTTTGTCTGTGATTGATATAGCAGACTGTGATTGCTCAGCACTGTTCTGGAAGGAAGGAAAACAAGAAAGTACCTCAAAATATTGATTACAATTAAATTGTAATGAGGTCAAATGAATGAATCCCAACAAAGACAATCTTATCTAAGAAGGCCCAGGTGATGGAGTCGGGCCTGCCCCTCTCTAAATAAGAGGGTAAAATTACTTCCCTAAGGATGTAATAATGTTAAAAAGCTTTTAGAGGAAATGACTTTATGCTATATGTTTTATTCACCTTAAACCACTGAAACCATGTACATAAAAGTCAAACATTTGAAAGGGCCACCTTAATTTTTCAGTCTCTTGAAGTGAAACAGATCCTGTACTGACTGTTTTTCTTGTTAAACGCTGCTGCTGTAGATAAGGTGTAAACTAGAGCCAATTACAATGAAATTTTCTGAAGCTTTGCCCCTTCACATATATCAACGCTTAAACCTAGGAAGTACATACTCTGAGAGCCATACATCCTGTTATACCGCTAATGTTATGTAATCTTTGCACATGAAATCTTTCGAGGAATTAAGTTAGCTGAGGACAGCCCTGGCTCTGCCATGCACCCTGTCACAGTTGGATCAAAGCTCAGTTGACAGCAGAGGTGTAACTGGATCAGTCTGGATTGGTCTTCATAGAACCTGCTCACACACAGCCTTGGTACAGAGGGCTGAGTAATTGTGGATGTTTGTTCTGCCAGGCCATAAACTCATTATATTACGTGAAAATCTATCTTGCAAGAAACTAATTTAGATGAACAGCTGTTTGAGTTAATTTTATGGTGTACAATATTGAAAGTAGTACACTGAAGTACATGAACCTGCACTTCCCAATGTTGGAGGGCACTATTTATATAGTCTGCTCTCTTTATAACTCAGTTGTAGGTATCACATTTGTTCAAACATTTAAAGCTCCTGGTATCATGTAAACAGATTGCAGGGTGACCTTCAAAATAGAGTCATTGAATTATTACCACTGGTGGTCAAAAAGGGTTATTGTGCATTTTGAAACACTGGCACTTTTGTAATGAAAGACAAAAGGACACCGCTTCCTTAACCGGCACAGGCATTGTGTCCAAGAAGCAGTACTGTTGAGTTCACAGGCAGTAGGAAAAGGGAGGCAAGGAAAAACATATACATAAACAATGGCATGACTACAGCGACACGGCAACACAGACAACCTGGCTTCAGGGTTTTACAAGGACAACAGGGTAGGCAGAGAGAGACTTTAGTCAACCAGCAAAAGCAGGGCAGCGTGTACAATTAAAGCTACAGGCTGCATTGAGCTGGCCCTTGCACCTTTGTTTGGATCGGGGTGTGATGCATGCATGTCACAGATCTTGTTGCTTCAATAGTGTTTTTTTTATATATAGAAAAAGAATCAGTGTGAATAAAGCTGTTTGTTTTGAACTTTGCATTAAGTGTGAGCAGCTGCAGAGTACTGCAAAGTTCTCAAAGCTCCAAATGTTCCTTTGGACAGAGAGGATTAGGGAAGAGGTGGAAACACAACATGTGAGGATGAATGAGAACAGCGTTAATGACGGTTTTAAACGGACAAACTAGTCCCCATACTGAATATCACTCACTGACTAGATGCTGCACTGATACAAACATCATTGAAAATTAATTCCATAGTTTAATAACAGTAAAAAAAAAAATCAGTAAAGATACACTTATGAGCGCCTTGAACCAGAATATAAACATGTATTTTAATTTCAATATAAATATTTAGATTTCCAGTATTTCCCTTTTGTTATCTTTCATTTATTCAGATCACTTTATAATTTCTTTTTACTTAAACCTTTTTACACAACTAAGATTTTTATTCATGAATTCATGCATGTATCCACTTACTTATCTACCAATCTATGAGTTGATGTTTCATTAGAAGGCAGCAAATGATATCTTCATTATGCTTGTTCCTCACGTTTAATTTTGTCTTTAAAAAAAAAATGTCTGTGTGATATGATTCTGTCTATCAGCAAAAAGCACTTAATTCAGTAACTGCTATGTTAATTAAGTTGGATATGGGGTTAAGCATTCATAAGTGTTGAGTTAGAAAAATATCACATATTATATTTTCTCTAAAACTGGTACGAAAAAAAAATCATTTAAAAGGTTCCTGACAAATCTTAACAATAGGCTTTCAGTGACAATGAAACAGAGTTCACAACGAAATACCTAAATATAAAAAATAATAGTTTTAAAGTAAAGTTATGCCACTCCCAAATAACGATGCACTTTAAAAGAAGAAATGGTCTGGATGGTTATAACCAGGGTAGGCTACACATAGTCAGGCTGTGGGTTTGTCTTTTTAGCAGGTGTGTGTTTAACCCAAAACCAAGAATAAAAGTTACTATGTGTATTTTGATATGAGAATGAATACAGTACACAATTGTGCCAATACAAATATTTTTGTGCCACTAGAGTTACCTGAAGCTATCATCTTAAAAAAACGTTGCTTTATGTGCCGCGCAAAGGAGAGGATGTCTTATTTTGTTCAAACATACTTTCCTGTTCTTTCTCTTCCTCTCTTTACATCCTTGCCTATATACCAACATCTCTACCACCGTGTCTGGTGGTAGAGATTAGGATTTAAGTTTCAGATGTAGTGGGCAGATGGACGGATGCAATAAAATGGACATGAGATGCACTTTGTTGATATCTGGCTTTGGTTTTGCATAGTAGAGCTTGAAGGTGCACTTGCAAATGTAGAGACGAACTGTGTGAGCTGACAATGGTTTTCTGAAGTGTTCCTGAGCCTAAATGGGAAAATCCTTCACAGACTGATGTGGGTTTCTACTGCAGTGCCGCTAATTGTACATGGAGACAAGTTTTTTAACAGTAGGACTATTTTCTCATGCAGTTGTTCACAAAATGGTGAACCTTGGCTCATCCTTGCTTGTGAATGCCTTTCAGGGATGTCCCTTTTACACCCAATCGCGACACTCAGCTAATTCTGATGAACCTGTTCACCTGTGGAATGATCCAAACAGGTGGTTTTGGAGCAGTCCTTAAATTTCCCAATCTACTGTTGACCCTGTCCCAACTTGTTTGCAATCATCAAATTCAAAGTTAGTGAATATTTGCAAAACAAACCCATAAAGTTGTTCAGTTTGAACATTGAATATCTTGTCTTTGTAGCGTATTGAATTAAAGATAGGTCAAAAAGAATTTGTGAATCATTGTATTCTGTTTTTATTTAGACTAAACACAACATCCAAGTTGGAATTGGGGTCTGTAGGTCCTTGCACCTTCTGCAAGGAAAGCAAATCTACAAATGTCATTGTAAAAAATTATTAAATTAAAAGGAAATTATCAATGACTATATAACTGACAATAAATTCAACCTCTATTAACATAGCAGTTGCTGAATTTTTTTAAATGATCATTTGTGATTATATTCCTGTTTAAAAAAGGCTGAGATTTTTCCCTGGACACAAAGAGAACCATTTCAAAAAGGTGTGAGAACAAGTATGAGCATTTGTCATTGTTTCGGTACATTTTTTTTTTCCACCAAAAATAAATTCACTCAATATTTAAAAAAAAAAAAAAAAAAAAAAAAAAAAGGTTGACCTACTATTGAGAACAGTTCATACACATGGTGAACAACAAGTCTAGCTGAGACGATGGTGGAGCGGAGCAGGGAAGACAAACAGAGCTGGCAAAGGACGGACAGACCTGAATCCAAACAAATCAGGGAGGCAAAGATCATGTGAAGACAGCTGATCTATAGCACAG